AGGTAATCTTGAACTACCTTGACGCCATTCAAGAGATAACTTGAACGATACCTAACAAAAATAAATCATGCTATACATACTCGCTCCGCCGCGCAAAACGAGCTAGTCGCTACTCGAGCATTAGTAAATCGCGATTAGTAAATTCTCTACCTACCGACTTACGAAAGAATATATATATATATATATTCTTTATTGCACTAAAACATACAGTAACAACAATAAGTTAATAACAATGTTAGCAAAGGCGAACTTATCTCTAATATAGATTTCTTTCAGTCAACCTAACGCAGTGGCATAGGCAAGAATATCAGTGTTAAAAACATAAAGTTTAAACTGAAAGCTTATTTACTGTACAACCTTGCTGAAACAGCAGAATATTAATGTAAATATTGACATTTGAGAACGAAATGTAAAGTATCACACACAAGCCCAAAAGGTTTAAGTGGTACTAAAAATCCAGTTTTTTGTTTAATGTATGCATGCTAATTAAATAAAAAAAAAAAAAGTGAGGAAGAGGGATTGTTAATAATAGGGATTAACAAGCCCACTGCTAGCAATGTACCCTATCAGGTCGGGAAAGGAACGGGTGGCCTACTCTCTGCCAGGACCATACGACAATATAGCAATATTAGCAACGATTGACAAAAAAATCAAAATTTCACACTTGAACCTTGTGTTTTGAAGATTTTTGTAATGGACAAGTAAGGTAACTAAGAGCTTTCATCATAAGGGGTTTTGCCAGTAATTTGGCTACCAGGCGGATTGGCAACCAGTTTTCTTTTTTAGTGGGTGATATTGTAATGGTAACGCCATCCGCGCTATCGGTTTACACCGGCGGGGCACCAGTGAAAGATGGTAGCAGGTCAGTTAGCCCATCGTGACGAATGCAACAAGAATTGCTCACGATGGTTTCCAGGGGGAACCACGTGGAAGTCGACCTAAATAAGGTATATTGCTAGCAATGGGGTTGTCAAACTCCATTGCTAACAATCCCTTTCCTTCCTGGCAACCACAGTTCAATGGATGATATTGGAATAGTAACCCCAACTGCGCTAACGGTATACACTGGTGAGGCATGATAGGTGAGGATAAAAGCAGGTCAGTTGATCCATAGTGATGAAATCATAAAAATGCAATGAAGAGGGTTTCCAGGGGGGACCGAGTGGAGGTCGACCTGATAAGGTATATTGTTAGCAATGGGATCTTTAGTCCTATTACTAACAAAACCTTTCTCCTCAGAGTTCCTGAAGATTAGGGAAAGAAAAAGGAAGAAGGTAAAGGAAGGGGTGGCCTATCCTATGGTGGGACCATACGGGAATAATTAACTTCATTTAATTCAAAACCTACAACTACATAGAAAAACTTCACAATTTTATCGGATATTACGTATCTAATCTATAAAGTATGACATAGCAGGCACATTAATATTATAAGCACTAATACATATGAGAGTGAGTTCATTTTAAAGTGTCGCTGTAAAAATGAGGAAGGGCCACGTTGGAATGCACACTACATGTCGACTATGTGACATTGTAAAAAATATACTTTATAGCGGTGTACATAAGATACAAAATGCAATTGGTACTCAAGTTATTTTCATAAATTAATGACTGCTCATGCCACTGCATTCATTTAAAAATATTTTTAATATCAACTAGTTTTTGTCCGCTACTTAGTACGTATGGATTTCAGAAGTAGAAAAAACAATGATATAGCCTACTTCTAGATGGCGTATCAAAATTAAACATATACAAAAATTTTTATTTAGACCTACAGGAACATAACTGTGAATACCACATCTAATTTGGTGCAGCACGTTTTGTGTGATACCGCGACAAATACATAGATTAACAGACAAAACTTATAAGAAGTATTGTTTTCATTTTTAATGCCTTTATCAAAACCCCTTATATTAATTTTTCTTAAATATTTCCATGTACAGATATTTTAATGAAGGCAAGGGAAAGCACAAAAGATCCGTATGGGTCGACGTGCAACAGCTTAGCTGACCCCATATGCGAAAATAAGATATGTACAGATATCGTTTAGTTAAAATTTTATTATGTACAGACATGGGAGATGTTTAAGAAAAAATTTATATGGGGTATCTGAAAATTACCAATAGGAGCCGAAACAATCATTTTTGGAAATTTTGTCTTTCCGTCTGTATGGTCCGGCATCAGGTAAAAACTACTACACCAAACTGCATACGGTTTCCACAATTATGTTTCAGTAGATTTAACATAAAAACTAGTATATATTTTATCATAATACATTACATAAAAGTAGTCTATTTCATACTTCTTCCTACTTTTGTATACCATGTGTTTCGTACACAAAAAAGCAAATAAATATCACCAGACACACTTCAGTTTCGTTTGAATGTTTGATAATTCTCTATTCATCATCAATCATTGAATTATCAACGTACCGTCTTATCACGAGATAAGTCGGTGATATCATCTTCCCTGAATGACAAACAAAGGAAAAACGTATATTGTACATTAGGTGATGGAAATCTTATTTTAATATTATAAATGTTAAAGTATGTTACTTTATATCACCTTAACGGCTTAACCAATCACTATGAAATTTGTTTTATCTATTTATTAGAAATCAATAGCGTGACAGTTAATATATACAGACTACTATTTAAAATATCAAGGCTAATTAATAACAGGTTTCTTATTATTCCAAAAAAATACAGAATTGGCTTGCGCAAAAAAAGAAAAAGTACAATACGGATATGGGATCATAAGACACGCAAGTACATATGTTTACCAATATACGTTACAATATATTTGTTACTGTAATAATAACAAATATATTGTAACGTATATAATAATACTAGCGACCCGCCCCGTCTTCGCACGGGTGCACATTATATCACATCACATTAGAAACCTCTAAAATTATCAGTGTTTCTCTACTATATTATGCATTATACATATAAACCTTCCTTTTGAATCACTCTATCTATATAAAAAAAAAAACGCTTCAAAATTCGTTGCATACTTTTAAAGATTTAAGCATACATAGGGACGGACAGACAACAACAGCCACTTTGTTTTATATGATGTAGTGATACATGCACTATATGATACTTAATGTAGATAGATAGACAGATACTCTTTATTGTTTCCTCCAAAAGTATGTAAATGTTGTAAGAAGCGACTAAGAAACTTAATGGATGAGCCTGATGGAAAGTGGTAATCGTCGCCTATAGACATGAGCAGTACCATGGACATAATAGAGTATACTGTTTCGCCTATGATACCCCCATGCGTTGCTATTCCTGAGGACTCAGGTGTTATTCCTCTGTACCCAGTAAATTCACGCCATATCCCACCCTTCAAACCGAAACACAGCCATGCAAACACAACTGCTTCACGGTAGAAACACGAATGGGTACAGAGGTATCCAAGCAATGGACTTTTGTACAAAGTCTCCCTCTGGTAAAATCTAAGTCCTAAGTAACCGTAATGTAATCAGTTTTCGCAAAAAATCGACGCCTCCACTTGGACAACCACCGGTAATCTCCACCATCCATAAAAAAAAACTGTCACATGAAGTCGCAGTTAAAAGGTTGCAAATATATTTATTTATTTATTTATTATTCAAGAAATCTCTTTCCTACTCATTTTTCTGTGTATTTGAATAGTAATTATGAGTTTTGGTTATTTTATGGCTATTTTAGCTAATTAACTGTTCTGTTACTTTCTTTCAAATTGGGAATATAGTATGAAAGAAAGAGACAAAACAGTCCAATAATTATGAGACGTTTGACGTTTTTACGAATAAGAATGTAACAATTGACCTTTTATAGGCTTTTAGACGGTCCAATATAACAAATAGCAAGCGAAACATACAACTATGTAAAATAAGCAATTTGTACGTGTGTGCTAACAGAAGGCATAAACGGAACGTTCTTTATCTTTGTAGCGTAAATGATTCACTGCTATGAGTCACGTAGTAAAATTACAGAAGGAATCAGTCATTTTTTTTATTAAATATTTAAGTGTATATCTGTACTAATGATATAGTAAATTTGTACCATACGAGAGATTTTTGAGAAAAAAAAATATATATATATATAAGGTATCTTAATACAATAACAATAAAAAACCAATACAATATTTTTTTGAATTTTTCATTTATTACATTTGTCTATATGTTTGTTCCCGCATATACCAAAAGCGATGGATGTGATGTTCGCTGTTATGCTATATAGGTATACAAAATTTCATAACTATTGGTTGAAAATAAACACACAAAGAAAAAGGTAACAAACAAACACACTTTCAGATTAGTAGCTTTTACCCGTGACTTCATTCGCGCGTCCGAGATATTTTCACTGACCGAAATAAAAAGTCTATATCCTTTGGCATACAATATACTGTGTACCAAATTTTATAGTAATTGGTCAAGCTTTTAAGGCGCTATAAGGTAACAAACAAACAAACTCGCTTTCACATTTATAATATTAGTAAAATTTAAGGATTTATTTTATTGAGAAGGTCACAGTAGTAACTCGTAACATGAGTTCCTGCATACATATCAGTTTTTGTTTCGTGATCACCACGCGTGACCGTCTGCGGTCACTTCCCATGACTGAACGGGACATGTCCCAAAACAAGCGAACAGACTGTTTTTCTACGACGTACCAACAAAATTATGCATTTATATCCTGTAATTCTGCTTTGTTGTAACCAAACATGCTAAATTGTTCTTTAAATTTAGTAAGAATGCATGTAGTTTTTCTATGGAGTTTACTAAAAAAATAATTCTACTTGCATTTAAAGAATAGAATCCTGGGATCCCGAATGACGAAGGCAATGGGTCGTTATATATGTAGCTAAAATAATTATATATAAATTTATTAAATAAATTAAAACAAATAATTAAAAATAATTTTTAAATGGCTACAGACGCAAAAATTATGTCATCAAACTTCTATAAAAAAAATCTAAATAAAATATCTTAATTAAATTAACACTCACCCATAAATTCTGTTAATGCTAGCACACTCATGGTTCCCCCGTAATAGGAAGAAGTTCTCTGGGTATTTGATCTTGTATGCGAGCAGCAAGCATATGGTCTCCAGGGATTGCTTGCCGCGGTCCACGTAGTCTCCGAGGAATAGGTAGTTGGACTCGGGCGGGAAGCCCCCATACTCAAACAGCCTTAGAAGGTCATAGTACTGTCCGTGAATGTCTCCTGTGGGAGAAAGAGAATTTTATTGTACAGTTAGTTTGACAGCTTGGGAGGAAAAGGATTGTTAGCAATGGAGTTTGACAGCCCCATTGCTAGCAATATACCTTATTAGGTCGACCTCCACGTGGTTCCCCCTAGAAACCATCGTGAACAATTCTTGTTGAATTCGTCACAATGGGCTAATTGACCTACTTCATCCTCATCTATCATCCTTCAATGGTGCCCCGCCGGTGTATATCGATAGCGCAGGTGGGGTTACCATTCCATTATCATCCATTAAAAAAAAATAGAACAGCTTAAGATAGGTATTAGTGGAAAAGGCGTAGCATCAGAATATAAACACAGTAAAACACAATAAGGGGAAATATCTAAATATACATTTTAAACAAAAACTTTTTTTATGTAGTTTAGAATGGCAAAGAAACTAACGGCCCATTTGATGTAAATTAGCAATTGTTGCCTATAAACAAAAACAGTATAGAGTAGGGATATAACAGAGTATATATTGTGTCAGCCATGACACCCCTCATTCCTTAGGACTAATGTTATGCCTCTGTACTCTGTAATTTCATTGCTCCAGATACTCCATACCCCATTACTAACAATCCCTTTCCTCCCTGTAAATGATGTTAGTAGGATGAATAGATGTCAAAACAACACCATACTCTGTTATGTCCATGGTACTGCTCTTGTCTATAGGCAATGTTTACCACTTTCCAGGTTGTTTGCCATTCTTTCATAAAATATATATAGGAAAGAGAATTTATTTATCACTTTTTAATACAATAATGGCTCAATCAATCACAAGAATGAAAAAGGACAGGCTACTTTTTATTCCATTAAACTAATATATCCTATTGAAATGTATAAAAAATAAGATAAAGATATAATAAAATAGAAAAATTACAATGAATAATAATAATATTGTTTGGTGTTCATAATAAAACTTTCATAAATAATTTGCAGAGAAATTGAATAGTTATAAATTCTGCTAGAATATTTTAAATTTGTCCAAAGAAATTCAACTAGAATGTTAATACTTTCTCTTTAAAATAAATAATGCCACTTTGGAATGGGTCCAAATCAAATTGGTTGAAATTAACAAATGAGATGTGTTATAAAATATAGTTTTAAAAACAGGACATGACATGTCAACAGGACTATAATTCTGTTACCGAGGTTTAGTTGACAGAGAATGATTGTGAATTATAAAATAATTATGTACTTAATTTATATAATTTTACATATTTTATATATTCAACTGACAGGCCCATCTGGGGGAGTGTGGTAACAATCAATTATAAACATGAATAGTAACCTGAATATAACATAATGTACTGTAACACAAGTGATTCCCTCTCGTATATTACTCTCTATGGAGTATTTTTGCATAATGACATAGGTGTATTTAAGGGTTTTTTTTAATGTATGAAAATGAAATGAATAATCCTAAATAAGTAAGTTTTTTTTTATACATCTTAGAATGGCAAACAAGCTGATGGCCCACCTGATGGAAAGTGGTAACCGTTGCCTATAGACATGAGCAGTACCATGGACATAACGGAGTATACTGTATACTATATACAGAGTATACCACAACAATGTAAAACTCTTTGGTAGAGCATAATAAAATTGAGAAGGTATGCATGCAAGTTTGTGCAACCTTTTTCTGGTATTTGATAAACATAATGTTATAAGATGTTATAAAACATACAAAATTATATTACTGTGATAGTTTTACAGACATCACATAATGATACATACTGATGGATCTATAAATGACTATACAATAACAAAAATGTCTTTTTCAAAATGAAATTTTAGTCCTCACATGTAATTAGTTTTATTACATGCTAACTTTGTGTGCTGGGATATATTTATCATCCCGGATAAAAAGTAGCTTATGTTTTTCTACATCCTGAATTGTATGTAAGTACATGCAGCAAATTTCACAGTGATTGGTTAAACCATTAAGGCACTATAAGGTATCAATTAAACAAACACACTTTTAGATTAATAATATAAGTAAAGAAGAATAGAATTGTCATAATTCAAATTGTTTTATTGTCCCAGAAAAGTTGTTAAGGAATATTCAATATAACTAAATATAGTATGTATCTAGCAGGGTGACTTAAACCCAATCAAATAAGTATCAAATTAAATCTCATTAAATAAATATGAAATAGATGTAAATAAACATATTTATGTCTATTTAGTGTGATTTTAATGTGGTCACAATTCAATGACATCAAAAGTCATCCTGGAGGATCAATCATAGTCTAATTCTGTAGAATCTAGTAGAAAGGTAAACAAATGAATCATTAATACTAACAATAGTTTATTCCATTTTTATTCCATTTATAGGTCACTATTACTACTATTTGGGTACATCAAATAACAAAAATTTTCATACTTTTGTAAAGATATATTATTTATATTTTATTTTTTTTATTGCATTTCATAATGTGGTTGGTAAATATTAAAACAGGTCTAATTATGGACCTTGTCATGTACAGCAACTGGGAGAAAGGAGGACTACCTTTTTTACTTTATAAAAAACAGATAATGAGTTAAAGACAATATTAGTCATTCATTAAATTTTTTTTTACAATAGGTAAATACTTTCTGTATAAGTCATTATTTAACTATTGATATATATTTATTTTTAATAATATATACATATGTATTGAGTGTGATCCCATAGTTGCACAATTGAAATAATAAATAAATAAGTAAAAAAATATAAATATAACTTTTTAATTTTTTTATTATTCTGCTCAAATTCAATATGTCTTTGGTGTGTTTTTTTTTTATTAATAAGCTATATTCAGTTATTACCAAAATATGTTACAGTGAAGTACTACAAAATAATTTAACAGCTGGAAAGTTATGGTGAGTGGGTAGTCATAAGCAATTAAGTGTAAAAACACCCACAAGTTTTTGTTTTATTTGAAATAACGATTATAAACCTAAATACACCGAGTTAATGGGTAGATCTCTAGTAGATAATTTGAAAGTAGGTAAGTGTATCAGTGATGATGCGTCTGCTATGTTAGAAATAAGCTTTAATATTGCGTTATTTAAAGTTGAGCACTTACCGCATATTTTTAACGGGGCTTCCAATTCAAGTAATATCGGTTGTGACAAGAATATTTCCCGCGATTTCAAGCATAGCCCTTTGATCTCTATTTCTGTCAACTGTACATTCATACCAGGCTTCTCGCCTCGTACTGGAAACAACCAAAATAAACATTTACACTGACACAATAAAAACACTGTAATCACCAAATAAATTCACACTACAACACAATCAAATATTAAAACGTATTCGTCACAATTTCGCGGAAAATAACAATATTTACGTTTACTTGTTAGAATATCAACAATTACCTTTTAATAATTTTTTTATTACATTATCGATGTTTAACTCATCTGTATCTCTGTCTGCCATCGGATATAATGTTTGTCCACGGAATATGACTAAATAGATTAAGTGAAAGAGGAAAGATTCCGAAGATTTTAGCCGATTTAAGAAAAGTACGACCTATTTCAATTCTCGGCTATAGTGAAATTCAATGGCGGAGACATCACTCACACACGCAATCAAGAGATATTACATATTCAATGTTGCCAGTATATAAACCAAAATATCCCTACAACCTGTTCCGCAAAAACCTGACTGTGGCAAAAACAGTTATTTTTTTCAATTAATATCTAAACTAATGAATCGATTTTAATTAAATTTCTACGGGATCAATCTGAATGTGTACGTGATAAAAAAATTAAGAACGTTTTCCTTCCTTTTCAAATAGGAGAAAATATAAATAGTTACCTAATTTATCTCTAAATAGATAATTTTATTTTAATTGTTAGTTGGTTTTTTAAATCAGACTTTAAACTGATTTATATTTTATACTTAACTCATATTACTTTACATTTTTACTAATTTCATAAATGTAAAAATGTGTGTGTTTGTTACATTATAGCATCTCTACGGCTTAATCAATCACTAAAATTTAGTACATGTGTACTGTAAAGGATATAAGCTAATTTCTGTTCCAGTGACATAGAGTAAGTTACCTGTAAAGGTTAGTTGATAAATTAATTTTTGTTTAAAGCGCTGCATTTATCTAGAAGTGAATCGCAGTCAAGATTAAACTAAGAAACTAAAAAAAAGTCTGGCACCGCACAAACAACTCCTCTTGTGTTACAGGTGTTTATGGGTGACAGTAACCGCTTTCCATTAGGTAAACCATCTGCTTATTGGGCTTCTTAACAATAAAAAATATGCTATTTTTACTTTTACTACATTTGAAATATAGTTTTAATTTTTTTTTAATTATATTAATTTTTAACTATTTTTTAGTATAAAATATAACAACAAAAATATGTATGTAATCATATTTCTTAGAATTTGTATTCTGTATATAATTCTCCTCAAAATAGAGGATTAATAATTGAGTGACAACACATTGTGGTAATGTTGCTATTGCAAAAATAAAATACACATTCTTTTCCCATAGATATTGAACTTACCAATGTTATCAACTCGATTGAAGACTTTTGGGATAAATGATGACCTAAAGCTAAAATTTGTAATTCAAGTTAAATCGCTTAATACTATAATTTTTTCATCTGACAACGAGTATGCTCTTCAGCTGATGATAAGTGACATTGACTTAATATAACGTACTATATAATAATATAATTTAAAATAAGTGATCAATACAGCCCATGGACACTGACGATGACATTAGGCGAAATACTAAGGTGTTGCCGGCCTTTATAATTATTTAATATATTGTTACATTATTAAATAATAAATATTATGCATATTTATATTTAATTTTAATATTTGCAAACAATTTTAATCACTAAATCAAAACAAGTTTGGACATATACTTAAATAAAAGATTATAATAAATTATGATATTTAAGTCATTTTTAATTAATAATTTTAGTTGTACAAGATAACAAGATATATTGAAAGAAGAGTCTTATTATTAAGTCCATACTAAACCATAGACAATGAAAAATAAGTGGTAGCTAAACAATACTGTAGCTTATGTTACTTACAGGTGCATTAGTAGATCGGCAGAGAAGCTATCATCACACTTTAGAACTAGAATAGTCACGCATAGTTTTTTATTATTTATTATTTGTTAGCACGGTTTCAAAAGAGCCCCCTCCAGCGAACTCAGGTTGTGGAATAATCTTCATGTCAAGGTTTTCCTTAGAGACTACCACATAGGACTTTTCAAAAAGGATGTATTAAGGTTTTTTTAAGGATTGGCAACGTGCGTAACATTTTTGGTGTTACAAGAGTCCATAAACTACGGTAATCCCGTTATCATTAGACGGGTTGTATGCTGGTTAGCTACTTAAAGAAATATTTTTATTTAATAAACTTAGATTCAAGCATTTTTACAAACTCTTATTAAAAAAATAGTAGATTAATATATATAGTGCGCCATCTGTTTTTGTTTTTAACTTTTACTGTCTAGGAAAAATTCATAACCCAAGGAATAAAACACTTTAAACAAATATGTACCTATTAGTTTTATTCTGAGAAGAACAATAATAATAATATCATGATTCAAACTTTATTTCTCATTAATCTTTTTTCGGTCCTCTATATGGATGTCGTTTACTGTAAAAAAAAAAAAAACTTATATACTTATTTACTACGCTTTTGACATGAAAACGTATTTTTGTTTTATATAATATTTTTTATAACTATCGTAACATTACCACAAATAATGTAATACTATACATACTACCAATTGTTTAATACTTAATTCAATTAATATTTATACATGCCTAATTATGGCAAAAAATTTTGACTTATACCTAATGTTAACATTTTTATACACGAGGTTTTTTTTTAATAAATATTCATTCATTTATACTTTCATTTAATATTTTTGGATTATAATTTTTAACAAGGAACATAATCGTGTAATAATTTCATATTTTTACCCATCACACCAGCCATTAACTATTTATTGCTGAATATAAGCCTCTTCTTTGGGAGGATTTGCCAGTAGATGCCACGCTTGGCAGGCGAGTAACATTATATTCTAATGTATTATTTTATTATTATACTTACGCTGGAATAGTTAGAGTGTATATTCCAAATTTAGTATTCACGTCTTCTAAGCGGAATATTCCTTCAACATATTCCTTGTCCGCTGGCACGGCAGGCGTTTCAAAAACAAGATTCATTATATAGTCCTCGACACAACTGAAAAACAATTCTAAGTGTTGATTTGTTTATTTTATTAAAATAGCAACATTGACATTACGGCCATGGATGCTTATGTGGTGCTTTGATATTACTGAAATGCCATATAATTATAATATACGATTATAAACACGACGATAAATTTTAAATGTTTAGTTGAGTTTAAATGTATTGAAAAATAAGATTCTTAGCAAGTATCTCTATCTTTGACACAATGGACAAAATTTACCTCTTTTGCTTCTAGCAACATTGAAATGACGTTTATTGTTTTGCATAATAGTTGTTGGCAGTATTGGAGGAACCAACTACCAAAAGAAAAATGCGATGTAAATTTTAAAATTTGAAAACCAGTATGATACTTATTCATAAAACATTTTTAGTTAGTGTTTCGATATTTTTCTTATAAAATGAAGAGGCCGATGTTGGGCAATCTTTTTTCATTTCGGATGTTTGAAAATACATTGATTGCTTCAAGATTTTTGTGTTGTAGTATATTTTTCTTTTTTTTATCTTTTTGTCTTGCAAAAGAAAGCAAAATCTTTTACTTTTCTAATTATCCTATATATATATATATATATATATATATATATATATATATATATATATATATATATATATATATATATATATATATATATATATATATATATATATATATATATATATATATATAGAAAAAAAAATCCAGATGGAATTGTTTTAAATAATGTGTTCCTTTTAAAGTGTTATCAATAAATCTTTCATAAACTTTAAACTTACTAAGCACAAGGCTGATATGGAACGAGTTTCTCAATCTTGTTGGGTCGTAAGGTCTCCACGTAGGGATCGGCAACCAACTTGGCAGTTGGAGGCGGCGCTGAACCTTTGCGAGCTTTGGGTGTAGGGGCGGGAGGCTGTTTTATTTTTAAAAAGTACACTAGTAGTAATATTAATTTATCCACAACAGGAAAGGCAAAAGAACTAAGACATACAGTTTGATTTTTAGTAGAAAGTTTGTATTTCCAAATTTTAACAAAGCAATTTTTCCATATTTTCTTCTTTAAAAAGTATAGTTTTTTTTTTATAAATAACCAAGAGAATGATAATAGCATTTTCTATTTATCCCATGAAAAGTTCAATTTAAAATTTCAGACAGATTAATCAGATGTAAATTTTTTTTTTATTTGGTCCAGATTCGCGTACGACCCACTTAAGAAGTGGTAAGAATCACCTATGAGTATGTGCAGTATTATAGACATTACAGAATACATGGTGAAGCCATGCGTTACTATTGCTCAGGGTCAAGATTATATTTCACCTTCAAACCGAAATACAACTATGCAAGCTTGTCGTTGTAAATTCTTTGTAAATGAATTTGTCACGATGGACCTATTATACTTCACTGCTCTGTCACCAGCATATACCAATACCGCAGGTCGAGTTGCCATTCTAGTTTATTTGATAAAAAATCTACAGTCGAACATCTCTTCCTTTTTTGAAGTCGGTTAAAAATGGTACTACTTTATGTACAAGGATGCAAAATAGATCTTTGTTGAAGACTTACTTTCACAGCACCATAAACCACTTCAATGAGACCCTTAACTTCGGTCTCTAGGATTCTGAGGAATTTTGGTACGTTCCACTTCGTTACCTCTTTGTGGTTACCGAGAAGAGATAGTAAGGGTGTGACGTCACATTTTGCTAGTCTGAAAACATTAACCCAGCCTTAGAATCTAGTAAAGAAACCAACATCTTGTATATATATATATATATATATATATATATATATATATATATATATATATATATATATATATATATATATATATATATATATATATATATATATATATATATACGCTGACATAGAGGCAGAATGTATATGGGAAATGTAAACCTCTTATATCTAAAATTTACCTACATTCTAGTAAAATAAAATAATTTTATATCAGTTCTAAACCTATTTAGAAAATTAAATTTTTTATCTGTATTATATTATACTTACAGATTGGTACCATAGAAATTTTATTAAAATTGATTAGTTTAGTTTTTATATGAAAATAACTATATATTATATTATTATTTACCAAAGAGACACTTTGTACAAAAGTCGATTACTTGGGTACCTCTGTCCCATTCGTGTTTCTATCGTGAAGCAGTTGTGTTTGCATGGCTGTGTTTCAGTTTGAAGGGTGGGATATGGCGTGAATGTACAGGGTACAGAGGAATAACACCTGAGTCCTCAGGAATGGCAACGCATGGGGGTATCATGGGCGAAACAGTGTACTCTGTTATGTCCATGGTCATGTCTATAGGCGACGGTTACCACTTTCCATCAAGTGGGCCGTCAGCTTGTTTGCCATTCTAAGTCGTATAAAAAAATATATTATTCTTTTTGATATATGCTTTTATGAACCTGCTTCTCTATTCGCTTTAATAATATATACAGATGACGTAACAAACATTGATTTCTATCGTTCTCCAGCCATGCAAAGATATTTTTCAATTACATACAATCGGTACTCAATTTACCTGACAAGATCATCAATTCCTCTAAGCACTTTCACGATTGTCGCTTCCGCTGAGCTGTTTAGTTCTTGCATATGCTGTGTTCGCTTACGCTTCGCCTCTAGTTCCGCCTTCAAACTCGCTATACTCTTGTCCTGCTTCTCTCCGCGAGCTTCGTTAATGTCTCGTTGGTCCACTGAAAAATAGTTAATACGATGTTCAACGAGCTTTTTAAAATCATCTGCGAGGGGAAGTGAAGGGTTTACTAGCAATATTAGCAACCACTTTACTAGTAGTATTATTTTTATTTATTTATTCATTAGTACATATATGTGCACATGATTTATAGCTAAAAGCATTCTCTCCCAGTCAACCATAGCAAAGTGTCAGAATACTCTTTTTTTATACAACTTAGAATGGCAAACAAGTTGTCGGCCCACCTGATGGAAAGTGGTAACCGTCGCCTATAGACAGAAGCAGTACCATGGACATAACAGAGTATACTGTTTCGCCCATGATACCCCCCATGCGTTGCCATTCCTGAGGACTCAGATGTTATTCCTCTGTACCCAGTAAATTCACGCCATATCCCACTCTTCAAACCTAAACACAGCCATGCAAACACTACTGCTTCACGGTTGAAACACGAATGAGACAGAGGTACCCAAGCAATCGACTTATGTACAAAGTCTCCCTCTGGTAACTCGAATGCGGTACTAGTAATTATTGATATACATACATAATAAAATTACATATATAAACGAATAAATATCTATAATTAATAATATTCCCTGGCAAGTTCATCCACACGTGATTGTCCTGAAAATCGTCGTGGTTGATTTCTGCTGAATTCATCATGATGCCTGACTGACTTCATCCTCACCTATCATCTCTTAGTGATAATACAAACAGCGCATCTTTAAATTTAGGCCTTCTCAAATAATATCAGTAATTGATATTAGAAACAGCCCAAGCATTGGGATTTTCAAATCACGCCTGAAGAATTATTATCTCTCACAATGCTGATGTACGTACTTATTATATGTATTTGTGTATTATATACAATAAAATCTATCTATTTATATGTATTTACTTATATATAATTTTATTTATTTATTTATACCTATCGGTCTTTTCAATTGTAAACATATTTATTTATTTTTACTATAACATTTAAGTCGATTGGATTACACATGTATGGAACTGTCAGTTTTCTCATATTGGGTTTGCTGGAAGAAATCTCTATTGGAGATAAGCTCGCCTTTGTGCACTATTATGTTTGTTTTTACATTTCAATAACCTTTTGTATACAATAAAAAATAAAGAAAGAAAGAATTGATTGTTTAGTTTAGTTCCGTTCAGTTTTCATTGTCAAGGATCTATACTAAACTATGGCAAGCACAGTTCTCTTATTAGCTCACGTGTATATAAAAGGGAGGAGGCATTGTCCAACCCAGAATTCTTTGGTGCCCACTGAAGGATCGAGAGCTGGATATAAGAGTAAGGTTGTCTGGAAAAGATTGCTTAGGGATAAGACCTTCTTTTGTATCACTTCTCATTAAAATTAACTGTATATATTATTTTATAAATAAAAGTATGCATTGCGCCTTCTTTTAAAGGGCCAGGTCACCCTTGGAAAACATCACAAATTTGATCAAAATTCTATTTACATATTGTCTGTCGTAACTGCTCAAGTTCCCGTCTTATTATAATAGACTCCTGCAACACTTCGCACAGCAGTACAAACGTCGAGAAGTTCTCGATCTCGGATATTCTGAAATGGTTTACTATTGTCGCAACTCGCTCCGTGCCTGCGTACTCCTGTGGACACAGAAACACCCATTAAATATAAACATACGTGACCTTAAAATGGAGGAAAAGGGATATTTCACAAAATCTTATTAATAGATAAATACTCTTTATTGTTTCCTCCATAATATTACAATAGTAAACATATTATAAATACAAACAATTACAAGAAAATATTACACTAAGAAAACGACGGGCGGTCTCATCGCTAAGAGCGATCTTTTCCAGACAAACTTTGGATGGAGAAAAGTTATTATAAGCAGTTTGACTGGAGGCATGAAACTCTGTTCGTATTTTAAATACACATAGAGATGTGCATACGTGCAATAATGTGAATATATAGATAGATATTGATTACTAATTAGAAATGAAGAAAAAAATATCAATGTTTTTAATTATTAATTTTATACGTAAAACGTACTTTAAGAAGAGAGGGAGGAGAGGGAGGGGTGGAACACTCCATCGCAAAATATGCAATTAAAAACTTACGTAATTATGGATTTCCTTTCCACTTTTCACTATTATTACCAGAAGTTTTGGTTTGAAGGGTGGGATATGCCGTGAATTTACAGGGTACATGGGAGGTATCATAAGTGAAACAGTATACTCTGTTATGTCCATAATACTGCTCATGTTGGCGAGGGTTACCACTTTTTATCAGGTGGGCCGTCCGTTAGTTTGCCATTCTAAGTTGCATAAAAAAAAAAACAAATATACTTACAAATATATCTTCAAGCAAAGAGTCATGTCTAGCGATCTCTTGCTCGCACCGCTGGATCTCTTCTTGCTGTCTAATCTCCTCTTTTTCGTCAGCCTCACATATCCGCCGGGAGCCTTTGATTCGTAAGAACTCTTCCAGTTTTGCCAGATGATTCAGATCTCCCTCGTAAGATTGCATTTCCTTGAATATTAAACACGTTTTTAATCTTCGTTTTTAGTTTCTCTCACAGCAGTGATAGCTCAAGAACAATGGATACCCCTCGATTGTGGTCCGAGATTCATAAGATCGAATCTCAGATTTAAACTTGCATGCTTTTTTAAATACGTATTTGGATTATTAGAATTTATTGTCACTTCGTGCTTTAGAGGGGATGTAATGCCGTTGTCTGGTAAATCAGGTAAAACGAAACTTGGAAATTGGCTTGAAAACTCTTAAAACCAGAAGGTGCCACTTAACACGAATTCCTACTCGTGATAGATGATTGATGTTACTCCTGGAGTAGTCTATTTTAATGCCAGAACTCTTATGGGGTAAGAATATAGAATTGAGTATTAAAATTGACAGATATGACATTATTTTTATTTGGTAAGTAAAGGTATTTAAATAAGTAAATAAATAAGTACTTACTTACTTGTTTATTTTAATACTCGACTTTTAATACTCGATTCTATATTCTTACCCCATAAGGGATCTGGCATTTAGATAGACCACTACAGAAGTAACATTAGTCACCTATCACGAGTAGGAATTCGTGTTAAGTACCTTTTTATTTACTTAAATAAAAAGGTAAATAATAAGTAAGTAACAAATAAGTAAGTAAATAAATAAGCAAGTAAATAAGTAAGTAAAATGGCTAACAGATATATCTCTGTTTAGCTGAAAAAGCCCCTTCCATTTCAAAGCCTCTAGTTTCCTGCAGCACTCGTCTCTGTTTCCAAACGCAACGGCCGCAATCTCAAATATGTCCATCAAGTACTCCTTGCCTTTTACTAGCTTTCCGATGGTGCGGTTCCATTGGATGTTGAAGTCGTTTCTATGGAAAATACCAGAAGGTGATTTTACATAAAAGCTGATTAAAAAAATGGTAAAATTGGAAATATTCTGAAATTATCTAAAGTAGATATGATTACAAAAGCGCGTTTCTTCTTAAGTCATACTCTCAATTTCCATCAGGTGGGGTAAAACCAAGCGTGAAACTTTGATCCAATAAAAAAAAGATTAAAGTACTGTCAATTGAGAACTACAAAAAGAACCAGAGGGAGACTTTGTACAAAAGTCGATTGTTTGGGTACCTCTGTCACATTCGTGTTTCAACCGTGAAGCAGTTGTGTTTGCATGGCTGTGTTTCGGTTTGAAGGGTGGGACATGGCGTGAATTTACTGGGTACAGAGGAATAACACCTGAGTCCTTAGGAATAGCAACGCATGGGGTTATCATAGGCGAAACAGTATACTCTGTTATGTCCATGGTACTGCTCATGTCTATAGGCGACGGTTACCACTTTCCATCAGGTGGGCCGTCAGCTTGTTTGCCATTCTAAGTTGTATAAAAAAAAAACCTTTTTTTTTAATCGGTTGAAAATAATATAACAAAAAAACTGATAAAAAAAACCTTTCAACAAGTAGCCGATGTATCTCTTCGCGAACCTTCTTATTGTCTGCATTAACGACGCAAAAACGCTTGGTGGCTAGATCCAGACGGTTTTCCATGCGACGGAGGCAATTGTTTGCGTTTTCTATCATTGTCAATTCCTATAAATATTTTTTTTTTTTACAACTAATCCATGAGAGTTGTAAAAGAGGGTTGTTTCACCGACAAGCAGCTTGATAGCGCATGCTGTGTTCCAATTTGTAGAGCATAGGAAATGGCAAGAAAATTCTGGGTTACCGAAGATCTTTCTGTCACAAGTGACGGCGAAGTGCAAAAATGCATTGATGCATGATTGGCACAGCCATTTGGTTATTAGGTACATGTATTATTTATATATATTATATGCACTTTTAGCACAGTGGTAACTGCTAGTAACCATTGGAATGACGCAAAAGTTTTGATTATATATAGCGATATGTATATATTTTAGTTGCAAAATCTTTATATTGGTCCAATAACGAATACGTTTCCAATATTATTTTTTGGACAGACTTTTAATATATTCAAATATATGTAGATATCCAACCGATATGAGCGCTATCGAAATGAGCCATGACCTTTTTTCGGTCATCGATGTCTAGAAAACCCAATATATAGATATCGGATCAGTATCCATATTACCCATGTCTAGTATTTAGAGCATAGAAAGATACATACATCCGCTTCAGTGGGTACTTTCTTCAGCAATTCGACCAGTTGTTTCTGCGCTAGGTAATTCAGGCAGTCCAGTTCTGCTTGTTGAGCTCGCTCGTCTCTCAGCTCTGACTCCAAGTGTTCATACTCCATAATAGAGTTCCGCATACCAATCTTCACTTGGTTGTCTCTTATAGCGTGCTGACCTTTTCTTGCGAGCTGATGGTGAATAACAGAAATGAAGAAAATGTTTTACTAATAACGAAAATTATTTAACGTTAAATGAATGTAAAAGCAAAAAAATAATTTAATGAACAGTAACATGGACAACGCTGATTATACTGTGTCGCCCATGATAGTTTGCTGATATCCAATAGTAGTAGAAATAAGAGAAATCGATTAATTGATTGGATATTTTGATTCGTTACTAATTTCATTATCAATATAATAAATTCTTAATAATAATAATTAATATCAACTATACGTGGTTTTAATTTAAAATGAACTGTAAGGTATCCTAACATTAATGCAGAGCAGCGTCTCCCGGAGCTCGTGTGCCAGAATGCTCAGCTGCTTCTCTTGCGGGGCCAGTTGCGGGACGCCACCGGCGCGTTTCTCCACGCTGCACATTGGTGCCAATTTTTGAAACTGGATTAAGCAAAATTTCCAAGTATATACTTACCATCGTCACGTCATTATGATGTACTCGTAAGTAGAGAAACCCTAGAGCTTTTTTGAGCAAGTCTTTTGTTGATAAGCCATTAACTGTCCACTGCTGAACGGAGCCTCCCCTGTAAGACATTTTGCCAATAGTTGCCACGCTTTGCAGGGAGGTTGGCAACTGCAGTTTGGCTTATGGTGGACGCTGCTGCCCATCCCTCGACCATTATGTACCTTTAATCCCCTCTTACGACACTAATGGGAAAGGAAGGGCTTATTCTATGCCGGGACCTGCACGGCTAAAAGTTTTTTACATCCTTATTAATATTATAAACGTGAAAGTGAGTTTGTTTGATTTGTCTCAGTCAGCAAAAATATTCTTGTCACACGGACGAAGGCGCGTGTAAAAGCTAATATTTAAATACCTCTCAAGTTTCCTTCGTAATTCATCTAATGCACATAAGTTATCTAATAGGGGGATCGAGGCAGGCCTATTTAAGCCAAAGATTTTGGATTTAATACCTAATTCCCATCTGAAATCTATGTCTAAGATTTGAAAAAATATAATATCATTAAATAATATCAAAATTGAGCACATACTCGTAATTGGTACTATACATGCTATGGTATTATATGATAGTAGAAGCCATGTTCTTTTTTTTATAGGTGATAATGAAATAGTAACCCCACCCGCGCTATCGGTATACACCAGTGGGGCACCAGTGAAGGATGATAGACGAGGATGAAACAGGTCAGTTAGCCCATCGTGACGAATTCCACGAGAATTGTTCACGATGGTTTCCAGGGGGAACCATGCGGAGGTTGACCTGATATATTGCTAGCAATAGGGCTATTAAACTCCATTGCTAACAATCCCTTCCCCCCAGTAGAAGCCATGTAGGTTCCAGCAGAGCCGTGTAGGTCCCGGCATAGAATAGACTACCCTTTCCTTACCCGTGGGACTCGTACAAGGCTACTAAAGGAGCTTTAGGAGGAGGAGGAGAACATCAACAAAGCCTAACTGCGGTTGCCAAACTTTTATTTATTTATTTCTTTATGCAACTTAGAATGGCAAACAAGCTGACGGCCCACCTGTTTGAAAGTGGTAACCGTCGCCTATAGACATGAGCAGTACCATGGACAGAGTATATTTGCCAAGCGTGTCAACTACTGGCAAAACCCCCCATATATTCAGTAATGGTATATTTTCTTTTATAACGCTCCCCCGTAGGATTGAAGCATGGTCCCGGATATTAAGTTCCAGGTTTTTTTATCTGATTTTATGTCCTTCCATTTTTTCCCTCACTCTTTACTGCCATTTTTCCTTTCATTCCTCACATTCATTCCATTTTTCCATTTATTATGTCTATTTTGTTGGTTATTTCAAGAATCCGTCAGTTTGTTCTCAGTTTGAATTGGTTCCAGTTATCGAAGAACCACAGTCCCTCGGCATAGTGTTATATTTGTTTTTTTTTATACCACTGAGGTGGTAAACAAGCATACGACCCACCTGATGGTAAGCGGTTACCGTAGCCTATGAACGCTTGCAATTAGTGGTATTACGCACGCGTTGCCGACCCTAAAGAAACCTCTGTTTTACGGTACTGTTCACATCCTCGCATACGAATCAATTTATGTTTCTAAAATCTCAGATAAATAAGTCCCTATACTGTCATTCTGTTCTTTATTTAAATTGCGTGATATCTTTATTTCCCAAAGTAATGGTATATTAAATGCTGATACGAGGGGGGAAGGGATTGTTAGTAATGGAGACTGAGAATCCCATTGCTAGCAATATACCCAACCAGGTGGACCTCCTCGCGGTCCCCCCTGGAAACTATCATGGTTAATTCTTGATGAATTCATCATGATGGGCTAACTGGCCTGTTTTCATTCTCATCTATCACCATTCACTGGTGCTCCGCCAGCGTATCCCTTTAGCGCAGGCGGGGTTACCATACAATTTTCACCCATCAAAAAAAAATGCTGATACGATGATGATGAATGGGTTTATTCTTATTAAAACGTACCGTTCGTTGTACATTGTTGAGTTCAGCTTCAGGATCAGTTGTTTTTTGTTCCACCTGGGTCGGCATTTTGGGTAACTCTCACCTCACCTCTCAGTAAATCAATGTCAATAAAAAGCAAAATGCTTAAACGCTAAATAAAAAATCAACTCCTATAAAACACTGACAGATGTGCCATGTTTTATTTTTTAAATATTTTTAAATTTTATTCTAATATATTTTATTTAGAGACTTTTCTTTTAAATTTGTATTTTTTTTTTTTAAATTGCTTCGCCTTGATACCTAGTTCTTTCAGTCATTTAGTGACATTTACCGAGAGAGCCAGGGGTTTTTAATACTTCAATAGTAACAATATATACACTCGTATTCTCACGACAGTTATTCCTGATGGATATTATCATTGTTTATATATATGTATATATATATATATATATATATATATATATATACATATATATAGTGTGTATATATGTATATCATATGTACATGATATTATAATTCAAGATTTTGTTGAAAAATATAAAAAATAATAAAATTAAATACTAAAATTAATAAAATTCAATCGTAGCAAGCAAAACTAGTTAATTCCTGATGAATTCATCATAATGGGCTAACTGGCCTGTTTTCATTCTCATCTATCACCCTTCACTGGTGCTCCGCTAGCGTATCTCGTTAGCGCAGGCGAAGTTACCATACCATTTTCACCCATAAAAAAACATGATGGGTTATTAAATAAAATTCTATATAAAATTCCTGTTTTTATTTATTAATTCCACAAACAAATTATAATAAAGTAAGTAAGTACTAGTCATGTAGGTCTTATTTTAAATTACAATAATTGAAGTACTTATGAGAAGTGCTTATATTAAGTACAGGTGCATTCGACAATGCAATAGTATTATATTTGTTAATAATTAAAATGTTAATAAGTATGTGCTTAATTTGAATCTATTGTGTAGCAGAGAATAATATAAAAATTAATTTATCTTTTAGAGATAATATACAGTATATATATATATATATATATATATATATATATATATATATATATATATATATATATATATATATATATATATATATATACATATACACACATATATATACATATATATATAGTATATATTATAGGTACAATATCTATATATTGGCCTAATTAAAGATATGTCACATATCGGTCGTCCAAAATATAATATTGAAATGAAGCACCCGATTTAAATTAATGGAAATATTCGTCTAGTAAAGGCGATATTGAAATGGGCGATGACGTTATTTCCACCGCCAATTACGAGATGAATCTTATATATAGATATCGACGCGGTACGGATATTACCCATGTCTATTATCTTTATGATTAGGTAGACAATGAATGCAAAATTTAAAATACACATTTTAATGTAACTCAACAATTTTTTTCATAGTAAAAAAGAACCTATTTTAATATGTTAGTAAGTAAATTATTGAATAATAAAAGTGTAAGCAATTTAAAAATATTTTCATTTGAAATATAAACAGTAATTGTCTCTAAAGTCTGCCACAAAATAGATTCAATATCATATAACAGAGAAATTAATGGAATGACTAAGAAATTATACTAGCCATAATTTTTGTGCTTAAAAAAAAAATTAATTCATCACAATACATTGCTACAATATAGATTTATTTACGAAAAAAAACATAGTATTCCAATTGTCGATATTTACATAATTTTATGGACCAAAAAAACTCAACAGTAGCATTAAAATTAGATGTGCCTACTTTAAAATCAATAAAATAATCGCCTGCATACACTGAGATTAGATACAGTAAGATACGAGTTCTTTTTATGCAATTTACAATCATAAAATGACAAACAAGCTGACGGCCCACCTGACGGAAAGTGGTAACCGTCGCCTATAGACATGAGCAGTACCATGGACATAACAGAGTATACTGTTTCGCCCATGATACACACCATGCGTTGCCATTTCTGAGAACTCAGGTGTTATTCCTCTGTACCCTGTAAATTCCTGAGTATATGTAAGAGCCGTCACACATTGCAACTGCACTGCAACTGTTTTGAGAGAGCAATTAGATCATAAAACTTCGAGTCTTCAATACTAACAACTATCCAACAGTGGATTTAGTATTGAAGGCTATAAATTGTCCCTTTTTGTTTTTAGTATATTTGGGACAAATGTTCCATTTCTTTAGTAGTATGCTCCCTTAAAAGTAGGAATGGGTAATATAAAGCAATATATATATATATATATATATATATATATATATATATATATATATATATATATATATATACATTGTTTTATAGTCGAGTGAAAATCGCAGCTGATTTATAATACCGCTTGTACGTGCTTTGCGTTTGTAGGCGCTATTAATAATATAAAAATTAAAAATAATCACGTAGAAATGACTGGGAAATAAATGCATTGCTAAGTTTCGTAAGTAGACATTGCGTTTTAATGCAAGAACATTCGAATTAATTTCGATTAGTTTTAGTACCATCCTTTACGGCCGCTCATGACTAAGGGTCCCGGATGGCACCGAAACTAGCTGAACATTCTCGGTTAAAATATATGTAAGTCAATTTATGTATTTTAACATTAAAATGCATTGTTGTTGCTTTAAAAAAGCCCAAGAGCGTTGGACGATTTGATTCGTTTGATAGCTATTTATTTAAACCAGTTATTTACATGAAAATGAACTGTTTTAATGATAAATATTTAGAAAATTCAAGCATTACCTATTTTATATCAGATCTACGCGGTTTATTTTCAATTTACATTTTTTTAAAAGACCAAAGACATATTTAGCAAATTTTTTTTTCAAAGATCTAAGTTAACTACGTTACATTGATACTTCAGCAGGCACGAAACTGCATATTTGCAAAATCTAATTAGGTAGATAGTTACCTATCTATTAAAATAATGAAATTAAGTATTTATCTATAACTTTGTGTTAAAACGTAAAGCACTATATGTATTGTACTTTAAATTGTCTTCACTTTAAAATTATATATTTTTTTTAATTAAGTAATTTACTATTTACTGTGTGGGTACTCTATTTATTTTTAATCTATATTCGTTATGAAATTTACATCCTAACAATCGAGTGATTTAGAAACATTTGTTTTTTTATCATAAATATAATATTATATACTTTATAGTAAAACTATACATATAATGCGTAATTATATTTCGTTTTATACAAATTAAAATGAACATTTAAATGATTAGGGATTTATACCCTATTTTGAAAAATTCTTAAAACACCAAAGAGTAGAAATACAAAAATGTAGGATTAATACTTTTTATATTTCAATAATTAGTTCAGTCTTAATAATAAATTAATAAAAAATATTTAAATGTCCTCTAAGCCTATCGTAATGAAATAACGGAATCTATTTTATGTGTTATTACTAAAACTAAGATTTGTCTGTGCCACTATTTTTAATATGTCTTGGGATCTGATCAGAATATCTATCGCAACTTCATATCACCGCTATAGTGTATCCAATATGTTTACGAGAGCGTACTGGATTATTTTTACGCAATATAGGGCAAAAGAATTGTTTCACTATTACGCAGGGTACGTGTTAGCTCAAACAGTGTCTTGGAGGCAATTGCCGGTAAAGTGGACTGTCCCATCCTAAAATATTGGCTGGAACAGGTTATCAACGTAAGATAGTGTCTTGGAGATAATTGCCGGTAAAATGGACTGTCCCATCCTAAAATATTGGCTGGAACAGGATATCAACGTAAGATGGAGATAATTGCCGGTAAAATGGACTATCCCATCCTAAAATATTGGCTGGAACAGGTTATCAACGTAAGATAGTGTCTTGGGGCAATTGCCGGTAAAATGGACTGTCCCATCCTAAAATATTGGCTGGAACAGGTTATCAACGTAAGTAGGGTCTTGGAGATAATTGCCAGTATAATGGACTGTCCCATCCTAAAATATTGGCTGGAACGGGATATCAACGTAACATAGTGTCTTGGAGACAATTGCCGGTAAAATGGACTGTCCTATCCTAAAATATTGGCTGGAACAGGATATCAACGTAAGATAATGTCTTGGAGACAATTTCCGGAAAAATGGACTGTCCCATCCTAAAATATTGGGTAAGACAGGTTATAAATATAAGAATGTTATGACCGCTGGTTTACTAACACAGGTTAAGTAAATTATAACTAACAAAATGGACCTTATGTTGTCTGAATAAATATTATTATTAATACATAAGTCATTATAACTAAGTTAAGTGATGACTATGACGAGTCCTTACCATTTTCGGTCACGCCGATCGTTTTGACTCCGCTATTATTATTTAATTGTTTGCTGTTATTGGCTTTAGAATGGCAAACAAGCTGACGGCCCACCTGATGGAAAGTGATAACTGTCGCCTATAGACATGAGCAGTACCATGGACATAACAGAGTATACTGTTTCGCCCATAATACCCCCCATGCGTTGCCATTCCTGAGGACTCAGGTGTTATTCCTCTGTACCTAGTAAATTCACGCCATATCCCAGCCTTCAAACCGAAACACAACCATGCAAGCACAACTGCTTCACGGTTGAAACACGAATGGGACAGAGGTACCCAAGCAATCGACTTTTGTACAAAGTCTCCCTCTGGATATGGCTCGTACGCACTAGTTCGATTGTACGTCTGTCAGATGTTTGCAATATTTTAAAATTACGAAATTTGTTATATTTATGTTATATTATAATAAGTTTGAAAATTACGAAAGATCAATTTTGATCAGATCCCATAACTAACACGATCAATAAAAATTGCCAATTTCCATATTATGGGTTTATAGCAGTGTGATAGAAATGTCTTATTTATAACACGTTGGGCAAACGAGCATGAGGCATGCAACACTGGAGAAATTACAGGTTTGCTGTCGGCCTTTTAAAAAGGAATATGCCGTTAAAGGTTACGATGTCGTTTTGGTAATTCTATGGAAAGATTATCTTTCCACGTAAAATGCTATTTTGTTTTTCAGATTTTATTGTTTTAATTATAAGGCTGCCCTTTACAACTTGCTATATATATGTTAATGGTACATTTTTTAATTAATAATCAATCAATATTATTTCGACATGGCAACACTTTAGCGTCTGTATGAACATTTTTAATCTGTTGTAAGTAACTAAGCTATCTCTTTCTCTTTCTAATTTATTTTAAACTTTTTTTAAAATTTTTTTTTAGTTTGCTTTAATAGAAATTGTCAATTTTAATTGATCATGCACTTTCAGACCGTTCATAACTTCAACTCGACGAAGTGAGACAACGTTGGTATTATCTGTCAATTATTAAAAATAATTTAGTATTTTTTTTAATATTTCAAACTGATCATTTAAAAAGCGATTTGCTAACGAATTAAAATGTTAATCATAGAATATGTTGCATATAAAGTTACCATTAAGATCTTTGTATCTAGTTTATTTATTTATTTGCTTAATATTTTGCTTTGGAATTTTTCAAATACATTTCTGCCGTTAAAACCAAAATTTTCAATGTCAGCTTAATAAGAACATTATTGGATCAGTAATGTTTTAATTTACTTGTTGAGAACTTTTTATGTTTTTTTTTCAAGCTAACAAACAAGCATACGGTCCGTCTGATGGTAAACGGGGTTACCGTAGCCTATACATATGTATGCATGTAACACCAGGGATGTCACACACGCATTGCTGACCTTTAAGAAACCTTTATACGCCCTTTTTGAAGAACCCTATGCTGTAGTCACTAGGGAAAGTCTCGGAAGGAAGATCATTCCATGACCTTTACGCGGGAGGAAACTCCTCTGAAACTGTACTGTTAATCAATTAGAAACATTAAAAATTGTTAAATTATTTTTGAATCTACATTCTGTCTACGTCAAAATCTGTCTACGACAGATAAATGCAATGTTGCCACACTTGGGTGAGCTAAAGTTTTAAACGCCCTCAACTCGAGTGCTACATATACCTAGTTGCATTGCCCACAAAGGTGGGTACATCAAAACATTATACGCAATACAAATTTAAAGCTACTATCTCATAATTACACTTCGATATTTAAAATAGACAAGTTAAGACCGCATTATGTTTTATTTTATAAAACAAGTTTGAATTCAAGGCAAAGGAATCTCCTACAAATATCCAACCAGGCTGGTTTTATTGATTGAATTCAATTTATTTTTCTTGATTGTTCTTTAAAAAAAGACTACGATGGAATATCTATATATACGTAGGTTATTTTATGCTTAAATCACCTTTCAAGTTATTTTGTCTTATAATTTTTGTAAAAACAAATGCTGTCTTTATCTATTGGTATACGATAAAAAGAGAAGGCAACACGCATCGCCATTTTGTGTTACGTTTTGTATATTCTGAGGTATAAATAATTGTGATGAGGCACTCGTTGCATTTATTCTGCAATGCAATTCAAAGGCACTTATTAAATTAAGGCCAGGTACACAATTAAGGCACAGTACAAATTTTATTATAATTAAATATTGCAAAAGAATATGAATTCACTATTGCTAAATATAGGTATATTATACTAATTATATATTATACAATTGAAGCAGATCATGTATATGTCGCATGTACATATCAACTGTAAATAATATGGCTATTTCAAATATGTATTAACTTATTAATTTTTTATAACTAACTTTTTAGTGCACCAACATATTCACTTAAAGTGAATTTAAGTAAGATATTACATAATCTCTTCACTTAGTACAAAATGTGTTATATACAGGTTAAAAAGCAATGGATAGGTTAGTTCATGGAGACGGTCCTTAACAAAATGGCAGTCGGAATAGTGAAACAAAATGGCGGAATGACTATGATTTTAAAATTCGAAAGTCGTTTAAACTTCGTGTCGTATTGTCTTTAAAATAGATAATTACGGACATATAAAGATGTTGGTCCTCTTGGTATTATGTTTTGTCCGTTCATAAAATTTCATTCTGTTGTACCAAATCCGCCTTAACCAATCCAATGTTTGTCTTTAACATCTAAAAAAGTTGACTGTTCTATTTTCAAACAATGTCCATTCTATTTACCAATGTGATCTATATTTAAAAATCGAACGTTCGTGTCCTTTTTACAGTGACTCCTATAATAAACTCAAAGAAATATTAATAGTAAAACGCAAAGTAACTAATAATGTACTAATAATTAAACTAGCTATCACTGCAAATGTGTAAACATCACACGGTTTATAAAATAAAATAAGAATATAGCCTAAAATTGCCGCTGTGTTAAAAGCGTCCGTATGTAAAATCAAGATGGCGGACGCGGCGACCGTTGTGTAATTCTTTTTTTGAAAAATTAAAAACAAAGTGAACGCAGCGGAGGATATGAGTGGATAGTAATTTTTTAATATTAAAAAGTAAACGGTTGATATGGTATTTTTGTCTATGGCTTCATAGAGTAGGCGCACCAAGAGTTGGGTACAGCAGATCACCGCTGAAAAAATCCGAGGATCCGAGAGGTTCTGGTGGGGGCTGGCTGCTCGGGAAATTTCCTCCGCTTCTCCTGTGTGGTAAGCTTGTGCTTCATTTGCTCGTCGATCAGCTCTTGCATGTCCATCTGGAATATGTTCAAACATGATTTTAAGCCAGTCTGATTGTAAGCGGTCACTGTAGTCTATGAATGCATGTAACACTAGAAGTGTCAAGTTGCCGACTCTGAAGAAACCTAAATACACTCTTTTTTTAAGAACTATATACCGTAAGGCAAATCTCGGCAGGGAGCTTTGTCCATAGCCTAAGCGTTGGCAGTAGAAAACTTATCTTAAACTGCATTGTACACGATCAAATGGAGCACGCATGAAAGGAAAAAAAAATAATATTATATTTAAAAAAAAAATTGTTTTTATTTAAACAATACAGACCTGCCACTGTTCGAGCTGCTGTCCAAGATCCACCTTCTGCCTGACAGCTTCGTATAACTGGCTGTTGGCCTGCATCAGTTCCACTCTGGTTTTAGCCAAGGCCACCTGGAAATGTCAATGTGAATCATTAACGAAAATTATTACCTATGGAAACATTAAAGTTGTTCAAGAATAGATAGATAGATACTCTTTATTGATTCCTCCAAAAGATTACAATAGTAAACTTATTATAAATATAAATAATTACAAGAAATAATCACAATGAGAAAACAATGGGCGACCTTATCGCTAAGAGCGATCTCTTCCAGCCAACCTTTGGATGGAGAGGAGTAATTATAAACAATTTGGTAGGAGGCACGATGAAAAATTTTGTTAGTTCTAGATATGGGATATGGAATAGAAAAAGGATATACAATAAAAACAATAAATAGATAAAAGTGTGTCTAGAAAACGTTTTATTGACTGGAAGTATATTTTAGGAGCTAAAATATCAAGTTTTACGAGAGAGACTAGTCGATAGAGTTTGCTAAAGAAAAATTAAATGACAGAGTTGACTTTCATGACAATCTGAATTGGTTTTAAATAAAAACAGGACTTTTAAAATACATCAACTTGTACCTGTGTCGACTTGTTTCTTCTTAATTACATTCTGTCTCCTGCATTATTTTTTTAATTACACAAATGGAATGGTAGCCTCGCCTGCGCTGACTGTATCTATACGCTGGCGAGGTGCCAGTGAAGGATGATAGGACAAGAAAATGCAGGTCAGTCACCCACCACGATGAATTCATTAGGAACTGAGCACGTTGGTTTCCGGAGCGGACTGCGTGGAGAGCGATCTAACATTGCTGGTAATGGGGACGAACCTACTCATTACTAAGCATGTCTGCCCCGGGGGGAAAGGGATTGTTAGTAATGGAGATTGAGAATCCCATTGCTAGCAATATACCTAACCAGGTCGACCTCCTCGCGGTTCCCCCTGTAAACTATCATGGTTAATGCCTGATGAATTCATCATGATGGGCTAACTGGCCTGTTTTCATTCTCATCTATCACCCTTCACTGGTGCTCCGCCAGCGTATCCCGTTAGCACAGGTGGGGTTACCATACCATTTTCACCGATAAAAAAAAACCATGTCTGCTCCCCTCTTCTTCTCTATAGTTAGTTCTACTACGGTTAGACATGATTATTTCTTAAATTGTATTGTTTGTATGTATTTGTATATTTACCTTTATAGTTATTAATGTGTAAAGTAAATAATTTTTTGTTGTATAAATTACATGCTCGTTTGCCCCCTGTGTTGTAAAAAAAAAGTCACGTACCTCAGCAGTCTTCTTCCTCTCGATGGCCTCGTCGCGCTCCTGCCTGGCCCGCGTCACCGCCTCGTCGTTCTGGAGGCTGTTGTAGTTCGCGTCGTTGAGCAGTTTGTCCCGTTCTTCAGCAGCCGCGCGAAGTTCCACTTCGGCTACCGACAGCTGTGAAGAGAAAAGAGTTTGTTAATATTGCTGCTACTCGTGCGAGGGTGGCTCCCTCTGTTCTTTTATTATTATAAATATGAAAGTGAGTTTTTGTAATGGGTAATAATGGAATGGTAAGAGAAAGGGATTATTAATGATGCCGACTACCAGTCCCATTGCTAGCAATATACCCTATCAGATCGACCTCCACGCGGTCTCCCTGGAAACTTTCATGCTGAATTCTAGGTGTATTCATCACGATGAGTTAACTGACCTGCCTTTTCATTCTCACCTATCATCTCTCATTGGTGCTCTGTCAACGTATACCGTTCGCGCAGACGAGGTTATCATTCCATTGTCATCCATTAAAAGAATAATAGAATGGCAACCCCACTTGCCACTTTCGATATACCCTGGCGGAGCACCTCACTAGGTGAGGACGAAGTTAGGCCAGCCTTTTTTTTTACAACGCAGGGAGCAAACGAGCATGCGGCTTACCTGATGGTAAGTGACTACCGCCGCCCATGATCACCCATCGTAAGGAATTTGACAAGAATTAATAAATGATGAATAGGCGACGTGCTGAAGAAGGGCCAAATTAAAAGTACCCGTAACCGGCGAGCGTGTATGAAAAGATTGATGAATGTGGAAGAAGCGAAAGAGGTTTGTTTGAATCGAAGCATTTGGCGTTCCATTGTTTCTGCCTACCCTAATGGGAGACAGGCGTGACAGATATGTATGTATGTATGTATGTAATAAATGATGGTTTCAAGGGAAAACCGTGCGGAGGTCGACCTGACAGCGTATTTGGGATGGATAAGAACAAAGGGTAATTTTTATCCCGGACGAAATCGAGTAACTGGAATATGTTGGTATCAATCCAATTCAAATTCTATTCATGAATCGCGTAAATCAATATTTTTGTTTTTTATACTTCATTGTATAAATTACCTTCTTCCTCTTATTTAAGAGTTTCCTTTTATCAGTGCGACTAATTCATGCAATCTCTTCCAACCAGCTATATTCCAGGCCATATCTTTGACCTCCTTATACGACATGACACCTAATGTTTCCTTTAACTGTCCCATGTTATTTATTTCTCGATATTTCCCTTCCCCATTTTACCTTCTAATTTTTTTAAATTAACTCACAGAAGAATAAAAATATTTGAGTTGTTTCTGACGATACATCTGTACAGACTATATACATATTTTTAATCTAAATATTTATAATTATAATACAAATAAACTATATAAAAAAAAACATCTTTTACTTTAATACAAAAAAGATGTGAACGATTTCTCTTATAATCTCACGGTTTATCACACTTATAATACTTCCGTTGATTACTGGAAATAAACTAATGCATTGTTTCCATAATTGTATAAAAGATTTAATTTTAACGCATTAACCTATGTACCAAAACATGGACAATTAAATAAAGCTGTATATCTTAGTTGCTTAGGCCCACATTATAAAAAAAAAAAAAACTAACATTTAAGACCGCGAAGTTTCAAACAAAAAAGTACAGTCTGTATTATAATAAAAAAAAAAAAACTCGTATTCAGGCGGCAATTTGAATAAAAAAAAAAAGTATACAAACAGTGCATTAAATTTGAAAATTTTACTCTGTTAAGTAACCACACGTAGGTCTTTTATAATAGTACATAATCAGGTATTCCACGTGATTCCTTCTCATTGCGAAATTATCACAGTTGTGGTTAATTGTTATGAAATTTGTCGTAATGTGCTAACTGACCTGACCTGACTTCATCTTCACCTGTCACTGGTGCCCCACCAGCGTATACCGACAGCGCAGGGGTTACCATTCCATTTATATAATAAAATAGTAGCCAGACGATGTCTGTACATGGAATATATATAAGGAAAATTAATGTAAGGCATGTTAGTAAGATGAAAAGATGCCAAAGCAATAATTTTTAGAATTTTGTCTTTTCGTTTGTCTATATGTTTGTTCCGGCATTACGCAAAAACTATTACACAAAGGTCCTCCATAAAATCTAGTATATGTATCATTTTAATACATCAATTAGAAGCGGTATACTTCCTTGGCTTTCCTACTTCAGGCGTACGAAGTGGCAGGCAAAAAACTAGTTGACAATAAAAAAACATGCCTAATACCTTTTGATCTTTAAACAAAACTTCAGCATCCATAAATAACAAATGGAAAATAAAAGGAAAGTAGAGCGTTGCGTGCTCTGAACTCATTGAGGGTAGAACGAAACAAAACCAGTGCTTGCTAACGTGAGAACTTGGTTTACAAAATAATTATACTCCATATGAATGAAAAAACAACTGTAAAACTAGATAAGGCTTTATTCGGCCGCAGTATCCGCACTAAGTGCAGTGAGCAACGAAATTATAATGCAATTTTGTTGCTCACTACACAAGACTTTGTAAAGTCGATTGCTTGGGTACCTCTGTCCCATTCGTGTTTCAACCGTGAAGCAGTTGTAATTGCATGGCCGTGTTTCGGTTTGAAGGGTGGGATATGGCGTGAATTTACTGGGTACAGAGGAATAACACCTGAGTCCTCAGGAATGGCAACGCATGGGGGGTATCATGGGCGAAATAGTATACTCTGTTAAGTCCATAGTACGGCTCATGTCTATAGGCGACGGTTACCACTTTCCGTCAGGTGGGCCGTCAGCTTGTTTGCTATTCTAAGTTGAATAAAAAAAAAACAATGTCATGGTAGAGTCAGCACCAGAAGTCGAACTATTCTGGTTATTTAATTAGAATTATTCTGCTACCATTAGTATGCGTGCAGACGCCAATATTTGACTACCAATAATATTATTAGTAGAAGTTCTACAATCTTTCATATTAGTCATGAATCTCCGACCGTTATTCAGTCCACGCATATGTTGCGACGAGCGAAAATTAAGATTCTTTAATATATTTTATTATTTCTCGTATTTATATTTATAAGTAGATACTCAATATTATTAGTTTTTTAATAAGTTAATTAAAACATATATTTATGATAAGACACTTGGTAATTTATTAATTAGTAGCGGCCTGTCCCGGCTTCGCACGGGTGGACATTTTTACATTTTAAAAAGTGGCCATTAAGGCTGCACACGCGACAGAAGCTTAAAAATGGAGTAACTTCTCCCGTTTTCCCAACATTTCCCTTCACTGCTCTGCTCCTATTGATCGTAGCGTGATGAAAAGTATACTATAACCTGCCCAGGAGTATGAAGAATAATTGTACCAAGTTTCGTTAAAATCCATCGAGTAGTTTTTGTTTCTATAACGAACATATAGACAGACAGACAAAAATTTGACTCATTGCATTTTTGTCATCAGTATCAATCACTAATCACCCCCTGATAGTTATTTTGGAAATATATTTCATGTACAGAATTGACCTCTCTACAGATTTATTATAAGTGTAGATAAATTTATACAGAACTGTTATTAAAATACCATATTTATATTTCAATTGATTTAAACATTTCGTATTACGCCAATATATCGAAAATTTCCAATTACTTAGTAATAAATAGGAATATATTAATAATATTTCTACCTATTGTCCGGGTTATGATCCAGACATCGGTTGCTTGGTTCCTCATAACACAGGATATCCTAGCTCGAGAACTAGGTGTGATTATGTGGCACCTATTAAAATTCCCACGGGAAAGATAATTTGTCGCGCGAGCTTCACGGGAAACGCTTAATGCCTTAATGTCAACCACGTGATTGCGTAATATAATTTAAGCCCGCGTTATTATAACTTGACATTACACCAAGATTAGAGGCTTACGTAGCTACATTAAACTATAATCCGCCAGTTAGTTGGCCTTGGAGACATAACAAAAGGTGTAGCGGTCAGCAAGGTTAACTTTCACGTCGGTTACTTTGGCTGTTGTCGGTTTATTTTATAAATAAACATTGTCACGTCACAAACTATTATTAAAGTTTAAAAAAAATACCCTGTGACAACCCGATCCGATGGGATTTGAACCCGCATCTCAGTGCTATCTGGACTTATATATATTTAATTATATATTTATTCTTTATTGACCACATTACAAAAAAAATGTCTGGTACAAAAGGCGGACTTAATACCATATAGCGTTCTATCCTAGTCAACCTGGGGCAAAACATAAAAAGTAATTATGCGGTAAAAAATTTGAAAATTATTGTAGATAAACGATTACACGTATGTAGCCATATTGACTTATAAATCATAACACATACAATGGAGAACTACTGCACACTATGATTATATAAATATACATACATTGATACATTACATATATATAACTTACATATACAAATATATATCATAAAAACATACATCCAATATAAATGTATATACATATTTATAGATTATATACTATAATACCAACTAACTAAAAAATAACGATAGAGATCAAAGGTGACGATGAAGATGATGAACTGCTATCATAGCTTCTTCAAAAGATATTCCCATTTACATTACAGAAGCAATATTATCAGTCAGTCTTTTAACTAGTTTATCAAGCTTATATTAATTGTATTGTATTTAATTGTATTTTAAGATGTCCTTCTCTGTAAGTCGAAGATATAGCCTACTTTACTAGAGGGAGACTTTGTACAAAAGTAGTTTCTTTGTGCACCTCTGTCCCATTCGTGTTTCTACCATTAAGCAGTTGTGTTTGCATGGCTGTGTTTCGGTTTGAAGGGTGGGATGTGGCGTGAATTTACAGGGTACAGAGGAATAACATCTGAGTACTCAGGAATGGCAACGCATGGGTGGTATCATGGGCGAAACAGTATACTCTGTTATGTCCATGGTACTGTTCATGTCTACAGGCGACAGTTACCACTTTCCATCAGGTGGGCCGTTAGCTTGTTTGCCATTTTAAGTTGTATAAAAAAAAGAAAAGGAAGAGGTGACCTATTCGGTCATGATGAATTCATTAGAAATTCAATTGCTAGCAAAGAGCTGTTAGTAACTGATCCTAAAAATATCTCCCCCATCATTTCAGGTGCTTGACCACCTGAAATATATAAGTATATCTAAGTACAGTTTGTTATATAACAATTTATTCCTAAGTGCTCATGTATCCAAGCGAGGTCGTTCACCCGACGTGACGCGGCTTACTGGTGACCGTGGTAATACAGGGGTCACGCCATGCTTTGCGGCAGACTGCAGGCGAGATTAGACCGACAGATAAAAAAATACAGTACCTATTTATGTCTACGTATTTTGCTACGGCGATACTATAGAAAAAACTTGCTTTATTTCTCCTTTCCTCTATTCAATAATGCATCGCCTACGTATTTCTCGGGTTGCCCAATGGTTGACTGGTAGAGAACACCGTCCGGTGTTAAGTCCGCCAAATGTACATAGAATTTTACTGTGTGTTAACGTTTAAATAAATAAATAAAAACTAAATCGATCCAGTAGTTTCGGAGCAATATGGTTGTAAAAGAGAACGGACAGACAGACACGCGAGTAAACCTATATGGGTTCACTTTTTCTTTTTAAAATACAAAACTCAAAAAAGAGAGTAAGATTATTATTTTACTATTTTTTTTATACAACTCAGAATGGTAAACAAGCTGACGGTCCACCTGATGGAAAGTGGTAACCGTCGCCTATAGAGATGAGCAATACCATGGACATAACAGAGTACACTGTTTTGCCCATGACACCCCCCATGCGTTACCATTCCTGAGGACTCAGGTGTTATTCCTCCGTACCCAATAAATTCACGCCACATCTCACTTTTCAAACCGAAATACAACCGTGCAAACACAACTGCTTCACGGTTGAAACACGAATGGGACAGAGGTACCCAAGCAATCGACTTTTGTACAAAGTCTCCCTCTAGTACTAGGGCATTTCATCATCATCATCATCATCTCAGCCATTATCCGTCCACTGCTGACCATAGGCCTCCCCATAGACCGGCATAAAGAATGATCCCTAGCCACCTATATCCACAGACTCCTTGCAATGCATTTGTCGGCACTCCATCTAATTTGTCGAATAGTTTTGAATATGTAGTTCTGCCACGATTCATCATCATCTCAGCCATTATCCGTCCACTACTGACCATTGCCCCCCCCCCCCCCATAGATCGCCATAAAGAACGATCCTGAGCCACGTTCGGAGAAAGGGTTTCTTGATCTATCTATAAACTTAAAATCTAAACTTTCCCGCCTTTTTTCGAGTCAGTTTATGTTACGAGTTAATAATGTCATTAATAACTATTTTTTTTTTACAACACAGGGGGCAAACGAGCATGCGGCTCACCTGATGGTAAGTGACTACCGCCGCCCATGATCACCCACAACACCAACGACATTGCAGGTGTTATGGGTGACCATGTGCATTTAATTATTACTGTTATTATTCAATACATATTCAGAACATATGTTTGCATGGTTGTGTTTCGGTTTGAAGGGTGGGATATGGCAATGAATTTATGAGTACAGAGAAATAACAACTGAGTGCTCAGGAATGGCAACGCATGAGGAGCATCATGGGCGAACAATGTATACTCTGTTATGTCCATGGTACTGCTCATGTCTATATGCGACAGTTACCATTTTCCATCAGGTGGGCCGTCAGCTTGTTTGCTATTCTAAGTTGCATACAAAAAATCATTTTTATACCTACACCTATACTTCTGTACTGATATTATAAAAGGGAAAAAGTTGATTGTTTGTTTGTAATGCATAAACACAAAAACAACTTAACTATTTTTAAAAATTCTTTTACATATAGAAAGCTACATTAACAGCGAGTAATATAGGCTGTATATTATTTTATAAAAATCCTATTTACTCGTGTAAAGTCGGGCTGGATCATTAGTATCATATACAATATAATTTTATGAAGTTATCGACTTATAAGGAATCGTGTTTGCCCATGATCGTGCAAGGATAGCCGAGTGGTTTAGCTTTATGGGCTGAGTAGGTGGATGGGTGGGCGTATATGGCCATTTTGATGGCAAATGTGGAACAGGTTATTGTGTTGAATAAATAAATCCACTTCCACCATCCATCCTTATGGTGCCTCCTCTAATGGTACATCAGATATTTTTCCGTTTTTGAAGTTAGAAACAATGTTTATATATATATATATATATATATATATATATATATATATATATATATATATATATATATATATATATATATATATATATATATATATATATATATATATTTTTATTGCACTTGTAAATTACAATGTTAATGCATTTATAAATATTGTGAGCAAGGGTGGACTTATCTCTGACAGAGATCTCTTCCAGTCAACCCAATGCAGTTAGAAAACATGTTGCTAGCGGGCAGCTGAAGTGCTACAACTATTAATATTTAGATACATAAACAAATATATTAAATAAAATATTAAGATACATAATAAAATATTACATAAATACATATACTATAAATAAATATAATATCTATTACTTATACAGTGGATGTTAAAATAAATGAATATACTACCTAGAATAGAAATTTAGTTCAATGATTTCAAAGTTTGACAGTTCAATTATAAAAATAAATAAATTATGACTCAAAGGAAAGAAAATGTAACTTCAACCTTTTCTTGAAAGAGGTAATTGAAGGGCTCTCTTGTATGTGGGAAGGGAGTTTGTTCCATAATTGGGCAGCTCGATACGAGAAAGAGTTGCCCATAAAATGTGTTCTACACAAAGGTAGGTCGAGAATCCTGGACTGAACTTGACAGGAGCGTTTAGGACGGATTGGTGGTAGTAATAATTTAAATCGAGAGCGGAGGTACGAAGGAGAATTGGGGTTATTAAGTATGTTATAAATATATATATATATATATAAATATATATATATATATATATATATATATATATATATATATATATATATATATCATGTAATCTAGTACGAAGTACGGAATTCTAAAACTGTAATAATATTAAAGAATCGTGTCCCGATGGATCGATATCACAGCGGCACTATCGATGTATTCAATCGATTCACGGTTATCGCGCTATAAACTTAATTGAAATACCGTTTATGGCGTTACACCGACCCGAATCGATTGATAAATCGATTCCAATTTTACGGATACAAATATAGCTGTTTATAAAACACCCGGCTGATGACGCAAAGTGGTAAATTGATCTTTATATTGCATATGAGGATTAGGGTTGTCAGATAGGAGTTTGTAATTTTTTGGAGATAATTGTAATCATAGACATCATACGAGCCGTTAACTGTCCACTGCTGAATATAGGATTCCTCAATAAGGAGGGTTTCGCCAGTTGCCACGCTTGGCGGGCGGGTTGGCAAATGCAGTTAAGCTTTGGCAGAGTTTCAAGAGAGACGCTGCTGTCTGTATCTCGATCATTAAGTTCCTTTAGTCGCCTTAAACGATAGTCACGGGAAAGGAAGGGGTGGCCCATTCTATGCCGGAGTCACATGACAATAATTTAAGTGCAATATTTTAAATATAAGGGCGCAGTCCTTATACTTTTAGTATTTAATAGTATGTTTATATTTAATTATGTAACTGCATGGCAAACATTCTGATAGCTGATTTGATGAAAAATGGTTTCTATCGTCTTTAGTCGTTCGTCGTGTGGTCCCGGTATAGAATGCTGTAAGGAAAACCTCAGCAGGAAGTACATTCTACAACCTGTTTGCGGGAGAGTAAGCTTCTCTGAAACCTCCACTAAATGCGGAATTTTGGATTTTTTTGAATTTTCTATCATGTGACAACCCTAGCACAGAGTGATTTTGTATGTGAGTGTAGAGCAATTGATTTAAATATATTGAACGGTGCATACGTAAACCACTATTTGTGGTAATTTTGCGTAATGTTTATGTAAAGTGTAAAGTAAGTAGTAAATTGGTTTTAAGTTTAGTAAGTAATAAAATATTTCTGAATTCCGTTTAATTATTACTTAACAGATTTGATATCGCAGTGTGGGTCAATCACGCTTATTATTCAATTCAACTATGATAAATTCAAATCACACACACACATACACACACACACACACACGCAGGCCTGCACGCACGCACGCACGCACGCACGCAAGCACGCACATACGCACACGCACGCATAAATATTTATAAAATTCTAAATATATATATATATTATAATACAAAAGAGAACGCTGATTGACAGACAAGCAGCCGAAAGTGCTAAATTTAAAATCTTGAAATTTTGGAAACCGGTTTCTTTATATAGTGTAGGTATAAGTGAATAATAATAATAAGAAAGGATTTTGAAAATCAATTCAGGTAATACATCCAAAAGCCACACGTACGAAGCCGCGGGCAAAAGATAGTTATTTATATAAGGTACTAATTGCGAATAGCTAAAGGTGTATAATAAATATTCAGTTGTTACTTTAATATGAGAAACTCGAAATTTTCGACTTATGCTCTTTGATTAAATCATATTAAAATTTGATTACTATCAGTATTGATTCAACAACTCACCTTAGAGGAGAGATCGGCAATGATCTCGTTCTTCTCATCTATCTGCCTCTCTCTTTCCAACGCACGGCGCGCGTGCGCCGCTATCGAATCTCTGACGCGTGAGCCCTCTAGCGTGGCATAGGCGGCGACTGCGTCCGCGCAGGCGGCGGCGAGTGCGCCTCGGCGGAGTGTCTCACCCTCTTCACCGTCCAGGGACGTGAGGGAGAGGTCGGAGTGCAGTCCTAGAACGAAATAGTTTCTTTTCAGCAAGTTTTGGAGTTATTGGAGTCCTTTAATATAAAAATGAAAATGAGTTTATTTGTTTAAATGTTACCAGGTCAAGTATTGTGAGAAAAAGTTTTTATGTATGTGAGACTTGCCAGTTATAATTTATTAAAAAATATGGTTACTTATAAATAAAAATAGGTACGTTCTAAATTTAACTTTTTTATTGATACTTTTTTTACTGCCAGATGATGCGCTCTCAGCGTTCGAGCAGGCTGTAAATGAGGTGTCCGCGGCGGACTGGAAAAAGTGTTTCGAAAACTGGTTCAGACGCATGAAACTTTGTATAGAGGGTGGTGGAGAGTACTTTGAAAAGATGTAATAAAAATATATTTACGTATAGAACGTTTTTTTTCTAGTGTCACTAAACTTTCTGAGTGTCCCACGTATATGTACTTTGTTTTGATAAAATGTGTACAATTTCATTATGCAGAATCGAATTGCCACATCTCTTTCTCTATCCCAACTATCATTAAATACGTTTTCTTCGCCAGAAACAGACTTAAAAATCATTAAAACCCGGTTCCCACGTATTATCTGGTTATTATAATGCCAACACGTAATCAACACTCCCATAATATCTGCAGTGATAAAAATGAACAATGGATCGTAAACGCAAACCAATTTTAGTGTGTATGAAACGGCTTGATAATTACATTTGAAATTTGTATAATATATATATATAGATGAAATTAGTGTCGACCAAATAGGCGACGTGCTGAAGAAGGGCCAAATTAAAAGTACTTGTAAACGGCGAGCGTGTATGAATGGATTGATAAAAGTGGAAGCGAAAGTAGTCTTTGGATATTGAATTTGACATTTATTTATTATATATTCTCTAATATATAAAATTCTCGTGTCTCGGTGTTTGTTACCAAACTCCTCCGAAATGGCTTTACCGATTTTTATGAAATTTTGTGTGCGTATCAGGTAGGTTGAAAAATACATACAACTTCAAATTTTCATTTTTTTACCTATTTTTAATCGCGATTTTTATATGCCGCAATAGGCGATCGAATATAATAATCGTAGTACGATAAATTTTCATGTATAGTTCTAGAGATAATGTATATGGTAAAACAACGTTTGCCGAGTCAGCTAGTATATATATATATATATATATATATATATATATATATATATATATATATATATATATATATATATATATATATATATATATATATATATATATATATATATATATATATATATATATATATATATATAATTATTATTAAGAATTATTGTTCGTGACATAAGAGGCGACTAAGGGAGCTTATGATGGAGGAATGAGCAGCAACGTCCCTCTTAAACATCTGTAAAAGTCTATGGTAACTGCGGTTGCCAACCCGTCTGCTAAGCGTGACAACTACTGGCAAAACTTCCTTTATGGGGAAGGCTTATGTTTAGCAGTGGACAGTTAAAGGATAATAAATATATTCTTTATTATACTTGTAAATTATATAGATAATACAGTTATAAATACTGTACGCAAGGGTCGGCTTATCTTTGAAGGAGATCTCTTCCAGCTAATAAAATAATAGTGAGACAGCCTGCAGTTAGTTGGTAGCTAAAGTGCATGAGTGCTGTCCAAATTTAGGTACTGATGATAATTATTTTAACATACTTGTATTATGTAAAAAACGACTAAGTAATATATCGGATGTTAATCATTTTGAATTAATTTAACCGACTTCAAAAAGAAGTAGATTCTCAACTAAGTTGTAATTTTTTTACGTTTATTACTTCATAACTGTGTGAGTTGTAAACCGATTTGGATTTTTTTTTATCTGAATGGATATACTTAGAGATTGGTCCTATAGAAATTTTATCAAAATCGGTTCAGTAGTTTAGTTTTGAAATTAGAATAACCAGTTTTGTAACATCTGAACTCGGATTTTATGGAACACAATTTTGAAATATGGGGAAACTGTGGCTCCGAGTCGGGTAGGCGGATTTATGACATGTATAGGGCTGTCATCACCTAAATTGCCGACACCTTTTAGGGGGAAGGGATTGTCAGTAATGGGGAGTTTAGTCCCCATTGCTATTAATATACCCTATCAGGTCGACCTCCACGCGGTTCCCCCTGGAAACTATCGTGATCAATTTATCATTGATTTCGTCACAATGGGCTAACTAACCTGCCTTTTCATCCTCACCTATCACCGCTCACTGGTAGTCCGCTAGTGTATACCGATAGCGCAGGCGGGGTAACCATGCCATTTTCACGCATAAAAAAAATTGCCGACACCGAATACATACGGCAAAAATCCCGGACATTTGGGCGAAATATGGTTTTTTTTCCCCAGACGCTTCTGAAAAAATATTTTTTGTAACAAAAATAAAAACATTGTTATATAAAAACAAAATTATTGTGGACGTATTTATAACTAAGATTTATTTCAATTGATCGCCTACCTATAAAAAAAATAGGATTTCCCCTGACAACAAAAGTGTCCGGGGACACTTTTCAAAAACCCCTGCCGAACGGGCCCCGGACGCTCTTCAAACCCTAGTTTGTCCTAACAAATCCGGGGTATTCCGGATGGATGGCAACCCTAACCATGTAAGTAGTAAATTTTTAGCAAAGCGTTACAAGGGATCATGACGCACGTTGGCCGCAGTATAATATGACATTGTTACATCAGTGCAGTGATCAGCGTATGATTGTATGCAACGCGCGGTTTCTTACGCAACACCGTGCCTCACCGCGCGCGCCCTTGTGCAGCAGGATTGGGTTACATTTGTCTTCGCATCGGTGCTTTTGCATCTAATAAAATTGCTGTTAAACAAAACTATTTGCTGTAAATTTATATTATGTTTAAAAAGTAGACGATTCTCGATTCGTTTGTAGATTTTCGTTACGGAGTTACGTTGTCGTTTTGATAATCCTTTTTCAAACACAAACATATATGGTTGCTACTTGTGAAAACCTGTTAGTGCTAAACTGTATCTATTTGCTCTAGTGTAGCCCTAGTTTTCCTATGAATACCTAAATTTTTGTTGGGTCGTTATTTTTTAAGGATTAAAACTACAGGTTTCAACCGACTTCGAAAAGAAGGAAATTTTCAATTTGGTTGTATTCTTTTTTCTTTTATGTTTGTTACCTCAAATTTTTCATCAATTGTGAACTGATTTGGAAAATTCTTTTTTTTCCATTTGAAAAGATATACTTACTTATATAGACCAAAATTCTTTCTTTTTAGAATATTTTTTTTAAATCACAATTAGGTATAATATCTGAGTTTTATTATAATTTTTTTTTAATTACTAGTTATATATAACATCTGCAACTTTTAAGAGTCATAAATAGGCGACAGGAAGGAAGAATAATCTCATTCGTTTATTCCTTTACTTTACAAAATAAAACATAATTAAAGATTGTGTCTCAGAAACAAGCTCAATTATGACAAAACCAGTTTTTTTTTAATTTCAAAATGAAATTACTGAATCGATTTTGATAAAATTTCTATGGAATAATTTGTACGTATATCTTTTCAGATAAAAAGAGTTTTCCAAATCGGTTTACAACTGACGGAGTTAACTCATGTAACAAATATAAACAAATAAAAAACCGAATTGAGAATCTACTTCTTTTTGAATTTATTTACTAATTATTTTCTCTCTAACTTCATTGGGTTGGTTGGAAGAGATCTCTTTCGTAGATAAGCCCACCCTTGCTAACAAGTTGTTAAACTAATCGGTGTATGTTTTGTTCAAATGTAAAAAAGAATATATATAATTATTTACTGGTATTAAAAATGTGACAAAATTAATAGACTAATTTAGATACAGTTCTATATATAGGATAGAGTATTATGTCTTCTAATCAATTGAGCAATTCGGCCGCTTTGAACAACGTTTGAAGAAACATTCATATGTTTCAAAACAATAACATTCTTAATTTGGTCTATTCGAGCCTTTGATGGTGTGAACATACCAGAACATGTTGGGACATAAATACATACACTGAAAATGGAACTAATTGGTTTATCTTACGGTGTATTTTTGTTCCACAGAACTACGCAATTACGAGTACTAATGGACTGAACGATTTTTACACGATCAAATGCGGGTATTTTTTCTTATTTGTCAAACAAACAATTCGCGTTTACCTAACTGATGAAAGAAAGGAGGTAATGGTTTTCAAGTGTAGGTAGGTCTTGTATTGGTCTGGGTGTGTTTACGCAATGTTATATGCTCCAACATGTCTAAATCTCATTTTTATATTAAGTTCAATTAATCATAATTTATTTCTAATGGACAGGATCTCAGTTTCTTATAGTCCCGGCTTCGCACGGGTGGACATTTTTGCAACATTTTAAAAATTGGTTATGGTCACATAACGGTAATAGTTGGACATATTGTATCGCAAAGTTTTTTATAGTTATTGATGTTTTCTTCAATATTGTAAAACATACTTTTGTTCAATCACCAATAGTTTCCCCAGCGCACGCGACGAAAGATATTTTATAGCATTGTTTTTACGCCTTGAATAACTTTACTAAAGTTTTGGTAAGGATCCCTAATCTATCTAACAATAAATATATCCAATGTTACTCAGGGTGAATGTAGCTTTCTAATGATGAAGGAATTTATTAAATCGGCAATGCAGTTTTTGAGTTTATTCATTACAAACATACATACACACAAAAATACAAATCTTTCCTCTTTATAATATTAGTGTAGATATTCAGTAAATTATAAATAAAGACCAATTTCCTTTACGCTTTTCCAACGTTCCCTTCCTCTTTTCCTCAATCCTTTCCTCCATACCATAGGTGGCAGAAACCACCAACAAATGCATTCCCAAAGAGGGTTGACGTCAGGCAGGTGGCCGGTCGTTAAACTAAAAACCAAATCTTTTTGTAATATGGATAAAATCATATTACGCCGACCCCAAATGATTGGGATAAGGGTAGGAAGATGATGATAAAGACGTAATTCACTA